GGACCCTTCCATGGTTTTGAATGGGCCACTCTCGGGATCTAACTAAGGTAGTGATTACTTCTTCAAGGTGCAAACTCGTCAGCTGATCATTCTGGGAGTAGGGTAAGTAGGGGGTGGTAGATTACCGTTTGCTAAGGACCTGGGGTTCTGGGGTTCACCACAAAGCAGGCTGGGTTGGTTGGCGGAACACTTCGCCCAAGGCGGGAATCGAACTCGCGCATCTCGTTTTCCGGGCAATTTCCAGCTGCCTCGTGATAACTTTCGGGGAATCGCGGCCAAATACGGCATTTAACGAGCTCAAACTGATGTCCACAGGATCCTTGGAGGGGGGGGGGACATTCAAAACACAGGCCGATGGTAGGTGAGACTAGGACTAAGCCCAGCAGGGGAGAAACGCCAGGGAGAACACAAATTGCTCACATGCTCCCCCAGGATCCCTTCCCCTCCTAGGGCTTAGTCCCAAGCACAGTAATTGGCTCACTCACTTGGATGTCCTCCCCCTCCAAGGATATGAGCGCCTAGCTAGGTACAAGGTCCACCACAAGCTTTATTGTAGGATCAAGAGTGGTCAGTGAGAAATGAGAAGAATCCGGCCGGTGGATCTGTGAAAAATAGAAGAGTTTTCGGAATACCTTTGTACTTCTAAAACTTTCAAATGACCCCTCCCTTGAGGTGCGTGGGGCTTTCTCGACCCTGGACTGGCCGGAACCAAGCTAGCCCTTCTTTCGGTCTAGCCCTGTCACCTGAGCGGTCTTTTTCAAAGACTCCTAAGGTCGTTTTGTTTTTCGGTAGCAGTCAGTACACCGGAATGATTCCCTTTTCGAAAAAGCAGGAGTTGGAGTTCCGTGCGTACGCGTACGCGTTTATGGATCATTCCGATGTGCTCTGATTGCGGTCCGAAGCTCGTCCGTAAGAACGCCGCCGCCAATCGCTCGTAAAGCGAACACTAAAGCGCAGATTTCGCCTCCTGGTCATCCAAACCTCCCTCAAAACGCTTCCACCGTTCCACTCTGAATGTCCCAGCTATCTCCAAGGTATCCCTAATGATTTACGAGATCGGGTCATCCTTGCACTTCCGACAGCCGATTCGTCATAATCTCCTAATGTAATTAGGTCGCCGGCCGACTACAAAAGGCATGTCTGATTAACAGAGCATGTAGCCGAGGCGCATCTTCAAAAGGGCAGGTGCCACATGAAATATTAGGCTGCACGGAGAGGTTGCAGACGTCCGGTAGATAGAAGCCCACCGACCGCTCCATTGTGTTTGTTTACAATGGCGGCTTTACTCATTAGAATTCAGCGAGTGACCGCGCCGCTCGCGCGACGTTTACCTCGGCCCTAATAAAGCAATATGGCCGACGGTGACCCGATATTTGCATCTCTAATCCCTGATCTGACCGCTGACCCTTTGGACAGTGTCAAGAGTCGGTGCGATGGATGCATTCCGGCACAATGGTTGACCGTCAGGTGGTCATCGTGGGACGGAACCATCGCACTATGGGGAAGCCGCTGTAAAGCGCTCCGGTCAGATCGGGTCAAATCGGCCGCGCGTTGAGTGAGGAATTCAGATCGAGCATTAAAGACGGCCGACCATGGGACGAACTCGATGAGATGCACTGAAGCTTGCATAACGAATCACTTTGCGCCAACGCTTGTACTTCTTGCCTGGGCAATAGGTTACAGGAGGTGTCAGCCACAGCTTACAGTTGGTTCCGAAAAATTGCTATGAAGTTTCATGGATTGCTTATGGGTTACGATTAAGTGCTTGGATTGCTTACGCGTCATGAATGAGCCAAGTTCCGGGTTCTACGAACTTCTTTGGTTACGCCATGCATGCGATTTTCTTTCGAGAATGTGAAGGATACCTACTGCTTATGAGATTTTAAATGTGAAACACTGACTTGTTTTGTTTGTTAACTGCTGTTTTTGGCCGCAGTTCGCCTTGCGAATGTTTCACAAGAATGCTGGGTTGTGAACAAAACTTTCGCCCCAGGCGGGACTAGAACCCGCACCTCTCGCTTTCCGGGCAAGTGCGCTACCAGTTACGCTACCCGTATTGCTTCCCAACTCAGCATTCTATGTGATAGATTAGGTTCGTTCCTACCCATCAGAACGGAGGATCATACAGGGGCAGCGTAGTGGGGAGCTCTTCTCTAGAAGGGCTCAAACAGGTCATGAAAAGGAACTTTTTCTAGGTAAAGCGGTGTGTTACGTGAATGCGCCTCCCGCAACCACCGTCAGGTAATCCCTCTTTGGTTATGTGAGGTGTTCGCACACAACATACCCCAATCAAATCTAACGATGCCTTAACCCGTTGGTCCAGAAAAGGAAATACCGCTAAGAGCCCCTTGGGGATTCATTTTGCCCCGTAAAGTCTTTTACGGATAGAATCCCAAGCAAAGCTGCCTCATCTGGAAGGAAGGATCCCAATTCATAAGATGCCCAGGTCAAGAGTAGTGGAGTGCTATGCCAGCTAAGTGGCTCTGGCTAAATGGGACGAGGTCAGGGTGAGTACCTACGGTGGCTATCTTTACGAGCGCAGCGATCAGTTCGAAATGTGTGACAAGGTGTGGTAATAAGTGGGGGTTTGGTTGGGTAATTGTGATGTGGTTAATGACCGTTCAGCACTCATCACATTATGCAACGCTCGTCATGATCGGGTCGAGCTAGCGAGCGAACGAGCGACGATCGATGGATGGATGGAGAGAGGCGAGCCCACATAAGCCATTGTTGGATAATCCCCATCGCGAAAGGTCAGACAACGCGATCGCCAGCGCTGTATAGCGGCGAACTCGCGAAGTCCAAATTGGACAGCCTGCAATGCCTGGTTCCAGTGCCAGCTTGTGTGGCCCATGAGGCTTTTGTTTTGGCCTTTGCCAGCGTTCATTTCCGTTGCACCTACGGGGTGACCTCTCGTGCTATGTGCGCTCGGCTGAAAAACACCACTAAGGTCGTGTGCAGTTTTTGCAGCCGAAGCTCGTAAAATCGCGATCAGCAAAGCGCTCGGCGACGAACTTGGCCAACCGCCAAGGTCTCTCGTCAGCTTCTACTGCTGTTCGCCCAGCCACGGCCACGACCGCAACCACGAATCCATTCATCGCACTATCGATCGCTATCACATCGCATATCATTGAGATACGACTGTTTACAGAGTGATAACTGCGCGCCACCTGCGCCCACCTGTAGCTGTGAGTGTGACGAAGCGCCACTCACAACTTCGAAGAGCCAACACGGGGATAAAAATAGGGATAAAATCTATTTATCTGCACGATTTCAATACTTAACACTTTGCACATGTGACGACGAAGACGAGTTGAGAATGAAGCTACAACTACATTTGAGTGACTTTTAATGACATCACTTGAAAACATTTGGCAACAGCATAGGCCGAAATAACAGAAGAATGTTTAAAACAAATGAAAGGAAAGAATGACGGATGAAAAGAAAAGCTAGAACCCGGAGGAGCTTTGGATTCGCTCTTTGGTATCACAGGGAAATGGGAAAACCGGCGCAACAGCTTCCCGTAGACTAGTTGGTCGAGCTCAAACACGACTCGCCAAACGACCATTTTCAGGCAGAACGATGTCCAGTCGTTTTGGCGAATGCTGGAGACGCTTCTTACGAACGACCATGTAGTCTGAAATGGAACTGACTTGACTACCGTACCATCGGGTGGAAAAACCGCCGCTCATTTATCAAGCAATCATTTCTGATTGGCCAGCAGGGCTCGCCAAAAACTCACCGGTGACTTTCCCGTGGCGTTTCTTTGGTGTTGCGTGCTCACGTTTGGCTGGGGTGATCGGACTCATGGAGATGTCCATCATCGACGAGTCGGAGTCGTCCGAAGTGCACAGCTCGGCTTGATTTTCCTTCGTCGGCGAGCTGACCGTTGATGAAATCGATGGAATGTGCTTGGTCCTGAATTAAGAAGGGATAAATGCCAGGACAAGAGACAAGGAAGACCATGAGAGGTACGGTATAACAAACCTGTAGAATTCAGGAACGCTATCCTCGCCGATTGGTGTGAACTCGTACTCAGATGTTCCAGGAATGGGCATTTCACAAGAGAAGTTGAAACCCCATTTGGCTTTCTCCTTGTTCCGAATCTCTTCCAGACGCTCGGTGAGCCATTGTTGGGTGAGAGCCGGATCAGCACGGCCAAATAGACAGCGTCGAGCAGATCGTTTGGTCTTGGCCGATGATGAACTCGACGATGACATTCTGAAAACGGAAACACTAAGGATTTCGGCATATTACTCACACGATCACAACGATGTGGCGATAATGGCAACGGCACGGAGTATTCAAATGAGACGAAGTGTTGTTTCGAACCAAATGCTAATGAAAAGCAAGGAACGCGAATGAATCGTGAGAGAAACAGGAGTACGAAGCTCAATAAAACGGCCGAGTGAGGATCGCGGGACGAAATGACGATCTATGGGATATGGTAGGTCGGCTGGTGGGCTGGACGGCCATATATGCGATCGCAGCCGTCGGGTGGATATTCGAATGGCCGGCTCGTAATTGTCAGGGAGGGGTCAGCGCAAAGGGTACAAGAGGTCAGATGGTCCGCCTAGCCGCGAGTCAACAAATACGGATCAGATTACCTCGAAACAGAACAGGGACTTTTGAGTGTAGCGCCAAGGAACAGCCCATCACCAGCAGACAGGAAGGGGCAAATGCCGCGGCCGATGGTGGTCGGCGGCGATGTTTGGTAAACTGATGAGTCAGAGGAAAGAGGCGCAGACGAGACAGCCTTTCCGCACCGACCACTTGGGGGGTGCAGTACTCTCGTGTGTACAGGACCAGCAAGCTGTACCATTGAGGGCTGATTCGGGCGGCCGCTGCCAGTTCAATAATGGCGCTTGCTCGACTGCTGTCGTCGTCGCTTGGCTCCGCCCCTCACGCCGTCGGCCTGGCAGCGAGCCAGATTCTCACGCAAACCGAACTCCGCCCAATGATGATCGTCGGAGCGCTGTGTGACGTCAATGTATTCATTTGTAGTGAATTCATGGAAATGATAGTTGGGAGAACGCCAGCCGATTTATTTCCGGAAAATAGCAAAAATTGACGATTAAATAGGAAAAACTAAAGAAAAACGATAGGGCTTTAGGTAAAAGGTAAAGAAGGATGTTTTGACCAGAAACTTCTAATTAGAAGGGTACTTTTAAAATAACTGACAAATAATAATTGATGAAGACATTGAAATTATCCCGTTCACATTCAAGTGAAGTCTTGGGCCTGAAAATGGAGGTTTTTATCCTCGAGAGGCCTGTGAAATTTAGAAAGCGTTCCTTCTTCCTGAAAGGAAAACGAAAGTCAAGCGAAGAAAATCTATGCCTGTACTAATTGGATCATTTTTGTGAAAATGTTTTTTTTAGAACATAGTCAATCCCCGGCTTATCGAAAGCAATTAGTTCTGTGCATAGCTATAAATTATCTGAAGATCGGATTTGTGATACAGAGTGCAATCGGGATATCGGAGCGGTGAAAGTGGCGACATCGCACTTGCAGACCCAGTGAAGAATTCTCGTGAAGGGTTGATTAATCTATTGCCACCACCGCATTTCATGAGTTCTGTACTTCTCATCTTTCTCGTCAGCCCACTAAAAATTTCTCATTAATTCAGCGGACAATCTACACAGGTCATTTTTAAATATCTCAAAGTACACCTAGATTTCGGATCGTAAAAAAAAATTCAATTAAATCAAACGAAACATTCTTGTCCGCGTGGCCACCTGAGGTATCACCCTGTTCCCAAAGAGTTAAGCTCTCAATTGTACAGCGTTACTACCAGCTCGGGGTGGCATGTGGACCTCTCTGGTCAGCATCTCTAAAGTTTCGTGCTCATCTTCCCCCATGACATCGCTTTAGTAGTTTACACCCTATTGAAAGATTCTTGCAGGTTGAAATAGTGTTTGGACGGGTAGTTTCCTAAATGGCTTTCGTGACTTTTCCAGGCTCTGAAGAAGGTGAAAGCATCGAAGCGTCGGCCTAATAAAGTTATTGCCAATCTTTGGTCGGAAGCTCACCTAACTATCGCTCTCCATTGTTTAACATGTATTGGTTG